AAAAAAAAAAAAAAAAAAAAAACAGATAACAATTTTTCTGCAGAACAACAGAATTCAACTGCCCGAGGGAATACAATTAAAGCATTTATTTTATAGTTAGGACATATTTTGATTTAGTTTGAAAACATACACACAGAGTTATAGTCAAAAAGAAAAAGAATATAGAAAATCACTGGACCAGATGTTTCCTAAGACCTCCTATTACACACACACATACACACACACAGAATTTTGCAGATTATCTTTAGGAAAAAATGGATACCATGAGCTTTTTCTAAGAAAATATTCATTTATCAATACTTTCAACAAATATTTGAGTACATATTTTGTGCTAGGCATTTGAGATATGTCAGAGGATAAAATCCCTGCTCTCATGGAGCTTATATTCTAATTGAGGGAGAGAAACAATACACAACAAATATAAGTAATAAATGAATTTGATTCTGCAGTATGGATATGAGGGAGGGAGTAGAAGGGGAACAAAAGTGTGAAGGATGGGTAGGTGGGAATTTTAATAGGTAGTCAGGGTGGACCTCATGGAAAAGTGACATTTAAGATAAATTTTTTTGGACATAAGAAAGTTAGTAATGGAGATAGATATCTGAGGAAGAATATTCAAACAGAGAGCAAACAGTGCAAATACCTGAGACAATAGGATGCTGCATGAGGAGCACCAAAGAGGCCAGTGGGGTAGAACTGAATGAATAAGGGAAGAGGAGTAGAAGAGGAGAGTAGAGAAGCAAAGGTGTTAGATTGTACAGACCCTTACAGGCCATTGTGAGGACTAAGTCTTTCTCTATATGTGAGAGATTGGAAGCCATTGGAGGATGCTAGACAGAGAAGTATCATGTTATGGCTTATTTTTCAAAATAATCATTTTGGCTATTCTGTTGAGACTATCTTTGGGAGGAGAGGGATGCAAAAGTGGAATCAGTGAAATAAATTAGTTTTTTTTTTTTTTTTTTTGACAGTCCTGTCAAAAGAAAACAGCAATCCAGCCTAGAGGAGCAGCATTGGAGCTAATGAGAAATGGAACCAATTCTCTAATGAGAAATAGAGCTAATAAAATTTGCAGATATAAGGCAAAGAGCATGCATGACATTAAGTGCAGAGTCAATGGTGACTCCAAGGAATTTGACCTGAACAACCAAAATGTTGGTGTTGTCACAACGAAGATGGTGACTACTGCAGCAGGTAAGGTATGTTTTTTGGTGGAAGAAGAGAAGAAGTTCAGATTTTGTCATGGCAAGCTCTTGAGATGTCTATTGCACATTCAAGTGGAGATGTGGATTTAGCAGTAGGATAAAAGAACTTGAAGTCAAGTTAAAGTTGGAATTGTAAATGTAGATTGCTTTAAAGCCAGAGTCTTTACAAAGAGAGTGAGTGTAGAAATCAAAGAGAGGTAAAGTAAGGACTGATTTATGCTGCTCTCCAACATTAAGAGGTCTGTAAGATGAAGAAGCAATGAATGAGACTGAGAAGGTACAGCCATTAAAGTAAATGGAAAACCAAGACAGTATGTCAAAGGGAAAGGGACAAGTAACTGTGTCATATGTTACTGGTAGATCAAATAGGATGGGGTCTGTGAATTAGCACCAGACTGCATTGTTCTTGATTGAAACACTTTCTATAAGGTGGCGAATTTTAAAGGCCTGAATGGAGTGGATGTTAGAGAGAATTAGAGATAGCTAGAAGAGATAATGTTTTCAAGGAACATTGCTGCAAATTGCAGTAGATAGGGCAAGAAGAACCAAAAGGAGCTTTTGGTAGGAGGGTAAAATATGTCATGATGGGAATGATACAATGTAAAAGACAGGCGAGTGATGATAGAGAGAGAAGAATTGCTAGAATGATGTCTTTGAGTAGATGGGTGGTGACAAGATCTAGTACATACATGGAGAAATTAGCTTTGGATTGGAAGATGATAGATAACTCAGTGTGTCAGTACTGATGGTGATGTGGTGCAAGGAGTCTGTGTTTCTTTCCTGATTTCTTTCACTTGTTTCAGGGCAATAAGAAGCAGGGCCATCAACTGAGTATAAGTGTGGGGATGGTAGGTTCCAGAAGTATGAAGAGCAGAGTGTGGGAAATATTTAATTTGGAAAATGGGAGAGTAAATGAAGTTGAAAAACATAACAGCAAGTTTTATAGTCATGCATTTAAAATTAGACTAATCAACATGATTGTATATTTCTAACACTTACGTTCAGCAGCAGAAGTGCAAACAAGAGGTATAAGTGGAGAGTAATTTAACTAGCATTGTGGTTTTGTCAAGTGAGTTTGATAAAATAAGAGACAGGCAAGAAAAATGAGGGTCTATATACAGGGATGATTGTAATTACTGGTCATAGAATTTAAATTGGGATAGTCCTCAGTGGAGTGAGAGATAGTGAGAAAGTTGTAGCTTCAATAGATTGGTGGTTTATGGTAGGTATTACAGAAGAAGAAGAAGTGATTTTGAAGAAGTGGTAGAATGTGTATGCATGAAATTGAAATTATGAAGGGAGCACAGTGATTGGTAATGAGAAGGTCAAGGGTATGACTATGGAGAGTGAGTGGCTGTGATAAAATAATAGGCAAGATCAATCAAAGAGGTCAAGGAACTAAGAGACCAGGCTGTTGGAGGAATCTCCTACAGTGTGTGTATTGAAATCAAGAAGAAATAAAAGACAGAAGTAGAGCTAGGAAGAGTGACAATAGTTAGGAGAGAAGGGAGACTGGTATATGATAATGATAATATATGCGTATGTACACTCTCAGCTGACATGAGATGAAAAATTGGAGGATTATAAATTTGGGTGGAAGAGGAAAAAGGAGGAAGCCTACTCCAAAAAGGAGCTGCCCCTGTAGAGAGCTTCCAGGAAGACCTGTTCTTGAGGAAGAACCAGATTTTGGTTAAAGAATCAAAGTAGATGGAACACTTAGTGGAGAATACATAAGGGAAGTTTCTGGTGATGCCCTATGAATTCAGAGGAAATAGTGGAAGATTGTTAGCAGTAGGGAAGGGATGGGAGGTGGGAACCAAACAGGGGAGTAGGCTTTGTGAACTAGGAACTTCTTGTTAGGACTCATGGCACTTAGTGGTGATAGTGGGGAGAAGGGAGTAGTATGTATAAAATCAAAACCCAAACTGAAGTCGAGAGGTATCCGACTCATAGTGACCCCTTCTTGGGTTTCCCAAATGGTATCACTATCCAATCTTCCTTCCGAAGAGTGGCTACATACCCACCAGCCACTCCTCAGGAGGAAGGTTGGGCAATCTACTTCCGTAGAGATACTGCCTCAGAAACCCAAGGGGGGGTTGCTATGAGTCAAATCGACTCCATAGCAGTGAGTTTTGTTTTTTTGTGACAGTAAGTAAACATGTCTGTGCTAAGTATGTTATCTGTATAATCTTAGATTGGATTATTTTACTCTCTTCCATCTTAATTTTTTTATTAGATTTTTAGTACAAGAAATCTATAATGTTATAAACTTAGTATGTCTAAAATACATCTTACTTCTTTTCCTCAAAGCCAGACCCTCCTACTCCTATTTTTCCAAGTCAGCTAATTGTATCATTATTGCCAGTCACCTGCTTAGGAAAGAAGTGTGTAAGTCATCCTGGGCCCCTCTCTCTCCCTTACTCCTCAGATGCAGTTAGAACCAATATGCTGATTCTACCTCCTAAATGTTGTCAGTTTTGTATTTTCCTTTATCTCCCAGCTGTATTGTCTGAATTCAGACTCTTACTCTCTTCCACTTGCACTTTTACATTCATATCCTAACTGGAGTCTAGACTCCCAGTTTTCCAATCTTTCCCTCATGATGTTGTCAGAGCACCCTTTCTGAAGACTGATCTGATCATGTCCCCACACCACTCACATACTTAAAATAGTTCAGTGGCTCTCCATCACTTCCAGAACAGCCAAACTGCCATTTATCACTCCAACATATCTTTCCAGTCCCTCTGCCTGCTACCTACCCCTCTCCCCTATGCGCCTCATAAGCCAGCCCCAACAATTACTTTACATTTCCATATTAAACCTTTCTTTTGAAACTCTTCCTTGACTTTGCAGAAATTGTCACATCCAACCTTAACCTGTTCTCCTTCCTCATTCTTCACTGAGCTTACCAAACTTGCTTAAGATAAGTATCTGATTATAAATCAGATATGTTTTCCACTACATCTAATATAAGCCTTGGTATAAGGTTTTACATGCTATATAGCTGTTGTCTCAATCCCTTTTGTGCAACTAGGGAATATCTGCATCTCTCTCTCTATCTATCTATATGCACATACATATATATATATATATATATTTAATATATATATATTAAAACAAACAAATAAACAAACTCACTGCCATTGAGTCGGATTCGACCCATAGCGACCCCTCCTTGGATTTTTGAGGCAGTATCACTACAGAAGTAGATTGCCCAACCTTCCTTTCAAGGAGTAGCTGGTGGGTTTGAACCACCAGCCTTCTGGTTAGCAGTCAAATGCTTTAGGCACTATGCCACCAGAGCTCCCATACACACACACACACACACACACACATACACACACACACATATGAATTCCAGAACACTTAATTGTGTTCATGAGGAACATGTACCACAGACCCAGAGGCTGTCATTTGAACAGAACAAGGGGATAGTTCATGGTTTAAAAATCAGGAAGGGTGTGCATGAGGGTTGTATCCTTTCACTACAGTTATTCAATCTGTATGCTGAGCAAATAATCTGAGAAGATGGACTATATGAAGAAGAATGTGGCATCAAGATTGGAGGAAGACTCGTTAACATGCCATGCAGATGATATAACCTTGCTTGCTGAAAGTGAAGATGACTTGAAGCCCTTACTTATGGAGATCAAAGACTACAGCCTTCAGTATAGATTACCCCTCAACATACAGAAAATTAAGATCCTCACAAGCAGACCACTAAGCAACATCATGAAAAATGGATAAAAGACTGAAGTTGTCAGATATTTCATTTTACTTGGGTCCACAATCAACAGCCACAGAAACAGCAGTCAAGAAATTAGACAACATATTGCATTGGGCAAATCTGTTGTAAAAGAGCTCTTTAAAGTGTTAAACAACAAAGAGGTCACTTTGAAGAATGTTGTGGTGTTTTCAGTGGCCTCATTTGTATATGAAAGCTGGAGAATGAATAAGGAAGACCAAAGAAGAGTTGATGACTTTGAGTTATGGGTTAGCAAATAATACTGAAAATACCACAGACTGCCAGAAGAATGAACAAATCTGTCCTGGAAGAAGTGCAGCTGAAATCCTCCTTAAAAGTGAGAATCACCAGATCTCATCTCACCTACTTGGGTCATATTGTCAGAAGACCAGTCCCCAGAGACGGGTATCTTGTCTGGTTAAGCAGAGGGTCAGTGAAAAAAAAGAAAACTCTCAATGAGATGGACTGATGTAGTGGCTGCAACAATGGGTTCCAGCATAACAAGGATTGTGAGGAGGGTGCAGGACTGGGCAATGTTTTGTTCTGTTGTACATAGGGTCAATCACTTGTGTTGGAGCCAACTTGATGGTACCTAACAACAATACATATATGAAAATTAGAATTTTGTTGAACATATATATATATATATATATA